CAGGAGCGCGGGGGCGATGGGGCCAGGCAGCTGGAAGACCTGCGGTCCGAAAGCCTGCATGTCCTTCAGCTGGACGTGTGCCGTGAGGAGGAGGTGGCCGAGGCCCTCCGGTTTGTGAGGGAGAACCTGAAGGAACCTGAGCAAGGTGAGTGAGTGTCCCCCCCCCCCGCCGGCAGGGCTCAGGTCCATCCACAGCCCATCCCGGGACGCATGGCCTCTCCTGCCCGTGCGAAGCTGCCCCTGCTCTGTGGGCCGGTCTCTGCTCCTCTCGAGGCCAGGCGGTGTGTTGGCCGCAGCCCTCTTGGCCTGGGCGGCCTCCTGGGTTGGGGGCAGGGGGGGTGTCTCCTGACCTGCAGGAGCAGGTGACGCTTGCTTGCTTGCTTGCTTGCTTGCTTGCTTGCTTGCTTGCTTGCTTCTTTGCCCTGCAGGCGGCTGGCAGGCACCGCTCTCTCTGATCAGAACGGGTGTGTAAAGGTGTGCAACCCCCTTCCCCTCCTCTTCCCCACCCATCATCCTTCTTGCCCAAGGAAGGGAGGGGGGGAATGTGTTCGCTGTATAATTAAAAATTGCAAACCACCGGGGAGTGCCTTTGAAGTGCTCCAGGACAGGACAGAAGCAGCACACTTTGCTTTCATGCCACAGGCCAGGAACTTGTGTCAGGGAGACATTTGGGAAAGGATCTGAAAGGTACAACTAGTCTGGTTATTTTGGGGGAAACAGGGGAAACAGAAGTACGTACTGTTCAAACCCTAACGATCAATCATGGCGGCAATGATCTAGCCGTGCCTTCTTAGAAACTCCTGGCCCCGGCCTTCCCCTTCCTTGCCAGGGTTCTGGGTGGAATGGCAGGAGCCGGCTGGCCGGCCGAATGGGGGGGGGGACACGGCCATCCAGCTGCCTCTGGGGAAAAGGTTCTTCTGCTTCTGGAGGAGTTTGTGGGATGGCAGATCCAGGCCAGAGGGGAAGAGGGACAAAGGCAGTGATGAATTGGGGGGGGGCAAAAATTGTCCATTGCTGGAGAAGTGACGCTCCGAGCTTGCACAGAAGCCACGGTGGAGTCGGGGAGCGGAAGGGAGTCCAGGGTCCCAAGAGGACGGTGCTGCTGGACTGCTGCCTTCTCCCGAGGAAGGGCTGCTGCCCCTCCCCTGGGAAGCTGAGCTGGAAACGTCTGTGCTGGATAACCCCCCCCCCCCGTGTGGCCCAGGGAGTGGCTGCCTGCCTGCCTGGGCCCCCCCTCAGGCAGCTGTTTTGTGTCAGGCGACTCTTACGTGTCTTGGGCCCTCCCCTCCCTTCGGGTGGACCACACTTTGGGGCCACTGACAGCTGGGAGTCCTGTGGGGGGGGAGGGATTTGCTCCCGGGGGGCCCCCAGGGTTGGCATGACATGGCAGGAGCCCCCAGGGACGTGTCTCCTCTTTGGCCCGGCAGGTCTGTGGGGCCTGGTGAACAACGCCGGCGTCGCCTCCTTCGGGGAGGTGGAATTCACCAGCATGGAGAAGTTCAAGGCAACGGCTGAAGTGAACCTGTGGGGCACGATCCGCGTCACCAAGGCCTTCCTGCCCCTCATCCGCAAGGCCAGAGGTACGGGAGGCAGTTTCCAGGGAAGGGGCAGGAGTTTCCCCCCTCCCCCCCCATTCTCATGGTCACCTCCGAGGGCCGGGAGGTCCCTGTTCTGGCTGCTGGGGACCCCCTTCCATGGAGGTCTGATCCTGACCCCATAACCCCCAGGGATGCCCACCTTAAGCCTCCCCCTCGCGGTGGTCCTCCCAGGTGTGTCCGCTCTGCTCAGGAGCGCTGCCTTTCTTGGGACGACCCAAAGTGCCCACAGGTGGGCTTCGGGCAGGCGGGCTCAGGC